AAGATCTTGAATAAAGCTTCCATTTTAGCAACGGTGATTTCACTGGTGACAATGTGAATTGTTTTTTTGGGAAATGGCTCTTAATCACACTTAACTAGCTTATCTCTCAGCATCATTACTAAATTTCATATCCTTTCATGGAAGCCCTGTGGCTCTTTAGGGGTTTTTTGTGTCTTTGGGTAGGTGATAACTTTTGCCTTTCTTATCCTCCTTAGTAGAATCCTGGAACACCATCATTGCTTTAGATGCCTTTCAGGTATCTTGATTTCAGACAAATAATAATTTATAATTCATGAACTTGACCTTTGTGTGCAGGATTTCTATCCAGCTCTTATTACTGCCCTGTTTCCTAACTTCAGATCAGCAATTTATGTCCTATAGTTTTGACAAAGAGGCTGGGATGAGGTGGAGAGCATGTTTATTCATATTTTTTTAATCCCCCTTATTTATTTCTGTTAGCTCTTTGATTTAAACAGCAGAAGTTGGAGCAGTCAAAGGTCAGGGTGGATGGGGTGGAGTTTTCCCACAACTGCTGATGACTTACTGATCCCACTGTTTACACATCCAGTCCCTCTGACGAGGATGATGTGTTCAACAGGAGAGCTTCTCCTATTTTGGGAGCGTGCTTAGACTGGAGCTCTGAATCCCTCCTTTAGAAACATTTAGAAAATGTTAGGATGCAGTCAGGCCAGCACAGAGATACGTCTCCTTGGTATTAACTGATTTCAGAGCAGCTGTGTATATTCTGAAATACGAGAGCATGTTGATGTGGTCTTGTGGTGAGGTCCTTAGGTACTTTACATAATGGACATTATGCAGGCTCAGGAGCAGGAAGGAGATGGAGTCATCCTGTTTGATCACCTTATGGGGGATGACCAAAGAACTGAAGGAAACCATAGTTTGAGTCACTTTGAAAGAAGTGTCTTGCCTTGGAAACACAAGGTTTCGCTCATAACTGGGGGGTTTCTTTTTGTACATGCACACTGTAAGCAAACTTGTGTTTGTTTCCAGTAACAGTGTTTTATGTAGAGCTAGGTTATCTCTGGTACAAAAGGTCTTGTGGTGGAAAATCTACAAGTTAGTTCCTTGTTTTCACACTGATGTAAATTTCTTTTTGTTGGCAAACTTTCCATCTTTCACTGTGACAATAAATCCAGTTCTGTCAGTAAAACTGACTGAGGGTAAAGGGCAGTCCTAAGTCAGTTACTGTGTGGCAAAATCAATTTTGATGGACTTTTCACCTCCAAGATTCAGGGGTACAATCATTGTGCTTTCTGATTGCTTTGGTTAATGAAGAGGAACAAGTGCTTTTTTGTGGGTGAACTCTGAGGAGAGTTTTTTTGATAATTTGCAGTGTAAATGTTTTTGGAGGGTAGCACAAGAAAGCAGATTTCCTATTTATTCATGGAAGATGATGGCAGCTTTTAATTTGCCAGGTCACTGTACTTGTTCCTGTTCTTAGTATCCAGTGAAAGGTAAAGCAGAGCAGCACGTTTAGCCACTGGAGACACTGCAGCACAACATTCTTAGCTCAATGTCTTGTCCTAGAAGAGCATTGTGTTGAAACTGGATTAAGGTAGAGACTTACGGAAAACAATAGCTACACTAAAATTAGAAACCTAAGTCTGGAGTCTCAGCTGGACCAAGCTCAGCACAAGATCAGTGGGGAGACACAGGGTATCTAAATCGTCTTCTCCACTGTTGGAAGTGGGACTTAGTGTTGGGAGGGCACTTCTTGAAGAAAACACTCCTCTGCTCCCCAGGGTGATCCCTTGGATCTGGAAGTGTGTGGTCTGGCTAAAGCACGGTGTCAGGATCCGGAGATGCTTGTTCAGGCATTGTCAATATGGTAGAACAAAAGCAAGTGCCTGGGTTGTCAGGCTGAGAAGACAGCCAGCACTTGAGCTTACAGAAACACCTTTTGAGTTTCTTGCAAGACTGGAATAATTGACTTCTTGATAATTGTGAATGAAAACTGTCACATTGTATCTAAATTAACAGCTCTCAGTTTGAAAGAGTGAATATCTCTCTTCAGGAGCTCCTAGTCTGTAGAGACCAAGAGGGGAATAGCTGATGCAGTAATAAGCTCAGGTAGCAGTTCCAGTTTTGCAGGGTTTGTGTGTATTATACAGTAGATAGAGGAGATTGTTAGCATTGGTTAAAATAGTCCTATCAGTGTCAATAATACCTAAATCTTGTTAATTTTAGGCAATTAGTCTGTGGATTAGGCTTGAAGTCTGTTAATTTGATTGAGAGATATAGAGGAGTCCTACTCTGAGATGAACTGCTGCTGTACAATTCTGATGTTCCTTACATACCACTAAGTACAAAAACAGAAGTATCCATCAAAAATAAAGGCAGGAAAAGAGGACAGAGAGGATAATCTAATTCTCTCCAAAATCCCTGGGAGGTTAAGACTGAATGTTTAAAGGCAACTTTTGTCGTTTTTCTATGAGGCCAATTAGTTTTTTCCCACCTTAATAGCTGATTAATTCCGTGACTTATTTTGATCAAAAGGCATAGGTATCTTGGAACTAAAAATAAATGGCTTTTATTTTCTGCAAAAAAAAAAATAGTTACGTAACAATTCACACATCCCTAGTTAAGACAAAATATCAGACCTGTAGCTAAATCAGGCTGCTCTGATGAGATTTTTGAGTCTAGCCCTGAGGAACCTCTGTCAAGGAATGAGACACTGCAGATTCCAAGGTCGTTAATACATCTCTCCATATGAGAAAAATAATCCAAATTAATCATCGATCTTAAATCTAAATATTGCTCCTGTAATCATGAAGGAATAAAAAAGAAGAGGCTCTTCTAGAACCTGTCAGCTACATTCATTTGTATTCATTAGCATCTGTTACCTGAGGATTTTCATGGCCAAAACCATGTATTAAAACACAGTATGTTAATGCATAAACAGAATATTTTAGCAGAAAACTGTAATTAAAAAAGTAGCTGACCTGAGGCACTCACTTTATTGACTTCGTTCTTTTTTAAAGACCCGTTCTCATAATAAGTACTAAATAATTTTTCTAGTCCCTAGAAGTCTCTGTATTAGTTTAATGTAAAATTTTTAGTGTAAGAACTTTAGAGGTTTTTATTTTATTCCCAGCAGATCACATACCTTTAAATCCAGTTTGAGGAGGTGGGGCTGGGGGGCTTGGAAATATATTGGATATTATTGAATGAAGTGAGTGTATGACAGTATCAGCTTTGTAGAAACATTCATACTGATTGATTTGCTAAAAGTATCTGTACAAACATGCGAAGAGTGGAGATAGTCTTGTGAACATCAAGACTGATGTCCTTGATGGCTTTAAGAGCTACCCAGGGTCCTGCTTGGCACAGACAGCACAGAGCAGCAGAGGACAGAGATGGGTGGATGGAGGGCACTAGTGGAGCAGGAGTTTATTTTGGGTTTGCAGAGGAGTGTAACTTGGGGAAGGTTGAGTGACACAGCACATAAATTGGAGCTGAGGAAAACCAGCTCCTGGAGAAGGGAAGGGTAGTCCGGTCTGCAGAGGGTTTGGCAGTCGGGGGTTTTGGTGTCTCAAAGCAGGTCCCCAGGGGCTGTTAGGAAGCTGGTTCCTGGTGCACATCTCATGGCTGGGCCTGAGGCAGCAGGGCTGTTGTGCCTATACTCAGCATCAGCACTTCCTTGCCTTGTGACTCCTTTTCTACTCAAAATCCAGGCAGCTGAAGTCCCTTCAACAGCAGAAGGCAGGGAATTGGGGAAGTATTGCTACTGGCTAGGGAAATAGGAGGAAAAGCAATTTTAACAAGTCTTTCGCAATTAATTACAGCCTTGAATGTTGTTTTAAAAATATATTTGGTAGCTGTTGGATAGTTTATATACTAATGGAGTAGAGGAGATGGAAATCACGCAGAGAAAAAAAGAATTATTTACAATTTATAATTATTGAGAAATGTTTTGAATTGATCATATGTGGAGAAAGATTTAAATTTAGTTGCTGCACTAAAATTGCAGGCAGCTGGGTTTACATCTAGCAACAAATAGTTAGTTGATACTGAAAAGACAGTCACATGTCTGGCTGAGTATTTTCTCAAGAGGAGTTAGAATATATTTCTTGTCTGGTTGTCCATTTTCCTACAATGCTTTGTGGTTCAAAACAAACAGGGGGGGACGAGAGTGTAAAGTACTTTAGCTGAGCAGACCTGTATGTGGGGCTCCCACATGAGCCATGCAATTAAGCATGCAGAGATGGGCTTCTCAGCCTTGTGAGAACTCCCTTTGCCAAAGAACACTCAAATATACTGGCAAGAAGACCCAGACTCTCCTGGATGTGTCTGGGGTCAGAGGTCTGACCCATGACTGTTATTTTGATTCATTTTAGTGTTACTAGAGGTGTCCAAGGTTGCTGAGAAGAGAAAAATAGAGGCAGGACAGTCATCTGCTGAGCACCAGCTGTCACATGTGTCCCACTGGCATGCTGACTCATCCCAGGCTCCCAACAGTGCTTCAGAGACAACTTCTCCTTCTCCCACATAGTCCGAGACTCTTTGTTCATGCCTTTTTATCCCAGAGTTCCTCCTTTATTCGTGATATCTCTTAAATCCCAGTGGGATCCTCCAAATTTTGGTTATGCAGACCTTAACCGGGTGCTGGAGCTTCCCATCAAACCCATCTTTTCATATAGTTCTGCTCTGAAAATGTACATGACACAACTGGATACTGCCTTCTCACAGCTGTAGCAAGTTGCTGAGATCTGGAAGGCAGTTTAATAGCTACAAATATCACTCATGAAAACTTGCTGTCTCTAATGCTGCAGTCAATCAAGTTGCTCTACAGCTCAGAATATTTTATAGCTCAGCATAAATTCAGGGAACTGAATTGTGGGAAGGGGTAATATGTTGAGTTTTGAGGTTCGGAAGAACATTAATTATCTTTACATAAATGTATCTTTTCTGTTATTTATGCACTCATAGAATGACTGAAGAAAAACTAATTTTTTTTTTAATATGTAATTATTCTACAGGATCCTTCAAACCAAAAATGTGGAAGAAAGAAAACAGTGTCCTTCAGCAGCATGCCATCAGAGAAGAAAATAAGCAGTGCCAGCGACTGTATCAGCTTTATGCAGGCTGGGTGTGAACTGAAGAAAGTTCGTCCAAATTCCCGGATTTATAACCGTTTTTTTACTCTGGATCCTGACCTGCAGGCTCTTCGTTGGGAGCCTTCCAAGAAGGATCTTGACAAAGCCAAGCTTGATATTTCTGCTATAAAAGAAATCAGACTAGGGAAGAACACAGAAACGTTCAGGAATAATGGACTTGCGGATCAGATTTCTGAGGACTGTGCGCTGTCGGTAATTCATGGTGAGAACTATGAGTCCCTTGACTTGGTTGCCAATTCAGCTGATGTGGCCAATATTTGGGTATCAGGATTAAGGTACTTGGTTTCTCGTAGCAAACAACCCCTGGACTTGATGGAAAGCAGCCACGATACCCCACGGTTTGCCTGGCTAAAAACTGTATTTGATGCAGCAGATGTTGATGGCAATGGCATAATGTTAGAAGATATGTCTGTGGAGCTAATAAAGAAGCTTAACCCCACCTTAAAAGAGTCAAAGATTAGATTAAAATTTAAGGAAATTCAGAAGAGCAAAGAGAAATTAACAACACGAGTAACGAGAGAGGAATTTTGTGAAGCATTCAGTGAACTTTGCACAAGACCTGAAGTGTATTTTTTACTTGTGCAGATATCCAAAAACAAAGAGTACCTGGATGCCAATGACCTCATGCTGTTTTTAGAGGCTGAGCAAGGAGTGACCCACATAACAGAAGAAATGTGTCTAGATATTATACGTAGGTATGAGCTTTCTGAAGAAGGGCGGTTGAAAGGTTTTCTTGCAATTGATGGATTTACTCAATACTTGTTGTCCCCAGAATGTGATATTTTTGACCCAGAGCACAAAAAAATTGTCCAAGACATGACACAGCCTTTGTCACATTACTACATCAATGCATCCCACAATACATATCTAATAGAAGACCAGCTCAGAGGGCCAGCTGATATCAATGGTTATGTCAGGGCTTTAAAGATGAGTTGTCGGAGTATTGAACTAGACGTCTGTGACGGCCCAGATAACGAACCCATTATTTGTAACCGCAACAACATGACATCTCCACTTGCCTTTCGAAATGTTATTGAGGTAATAAACAAATTGGCCTTCTTTGCTTCAGAATACCCACTTATTCTCTGCTTGGGGAACCATTGCTCTGTGCAACAGCAGAAGGTAGTGGTACAACACATGAAAAGAATCTTTGGAAGCAAACTGTACACAGAGGCACCTTTATCCTCAGAAGTCTACCTCCCATCACCTGAGAAACTGAAAATGAAGATCATCGTGAAGGGGAAGAAACTGCCCCGCGACCAGGACATATTAGAAGGAGAAGTCACGGATGAAGATGAAGAGGCTGAAATATCCCGAAGACTGTCAGAAGACTTCTCAAGGGAACCAAAGCTGATCTGGCTCTGCAGGGAATTGTCTGATTTGGTGTCCCTATGCAAATCTGTCCAATACAAAGACTTTGAGACATCCATGAAATTTCAAAATTATTGGGAAATGTGCTCCTTCAGTGAGGCAGAAGCCAGTCGGATTGCAAATGAATACCCTGAAGATTTTGTCAACTACAACAAAAAGTTTCTGTCCAGGGTGTACCCGAGTGCTATGAGGATAGACTCCAGTAACTTAAATCCTCAAGATTTTTGGAATTGTGGTTGCCAGATAGTGGCAATGAACTATCAGACCCCGGGGCCCATGATGGACCTACACACTGGTTGGTTCCTACAGAATGGGGGATGTGGGTACGTTCTCAGGCCTTCAGTGATGCGTGATGAAGTGTCTTACTTCAGTGCAAATACCAAGGGTATTGTGCCAGGGGTCTCTCCTCAGGTCCTCCATGTCAAAATAATCAGTGGTCAGAATTTTCCAAAGCCCAAGGGTGCATGTGCAAAAGGGGATGTTATAGACCCCTATGTTTGCATAGAAATACATGGGATTCCTGCAGACTGCACCGAACAAAGAACTAAAACTGTTCAACAAAACAGTGATAACCCCATTTTTGATGAAAGCTTTGAGTTCCAGATCAATCTGCCGGAACTGGCCATGATCCGCTTTGTTGTTTTGGATGATGACTACATTGGGGATGAGTTCATAGGACAGTATACCATCCCTCTGGAGTGCTTACAGCCTGGGTACAGGCACATACCACTGCGCTCTTTTGTTGGTGATATCATGGAGCACGTTACCCTCTTTGTTCACATTGCCATAACCAACCGCAGTGGAGGCGGGAAGGCACAGAAGCGCAGCCTCTCGGTGAGGATAGGGAAGAAAGCAAGGGAATACACCATGCTGAGGAACACTGGTCTCAAGACTATCGATGACATCTTTAAGCTGGCAGTGCATCCACTGCGAGAGGCTACTGACATGAGAGAAAATATGCAGGTATGACGCTTCCATTGTGTGTGCTGGGGTGTCCTGAATGTGGAAGTGAAGATCATGGTGTGAGCTGCTTGTAGGACAAGCCTACTGAAGCTGGTGAAGCTTCAGAGCCACAGCTGTTGTCAGCTTTTAAGTGGACATTGGAAGGCTGATAGTTGCAGGTGTTAAGTAATAAACGAATGTAGGATTAGGCAGAAACATTTTAAAAATCAGTATGTGCTCTTCAAACATATGCTTTACTGGTTGGTTTTTTTCTGAGAAAGCTGAACTGAGGGTACATTTGTGTGTCCCCACCTCAAGTCTCAAGTACTTCATTTCCTTGTTGGTTCTAGAAAACGTCAGCAAGCTTTTGTTTTGCTAGCTGTGTGAGGGTTGTGCTCTTGGTTTTCTTTGGGTGAGTATAAGAAACAGTCAGCGGATGGTGTCACTAAGGTCTTGTCTACACCACAGAAACCCACTGTGCAAAGAGCAAGCGTGTTTTCCCGAGTGTGCGTTGCCACTGTTTGCCCAAGGACTGCAGATGTTCGACATAGGCACTGAATGCCACTCAAATTGCAATTTCCTCCCTGCTAAATAGCTGTGTTGTCTCGGCTGGCTGAGTGCCGGCACTGACACCGGTGCCATGTCTTGGCTCAGAGGGTCTCCTGGCACTCTGTCTACCCACCCATGCTGCTCCATGTAGCAGAGCCTGCTGTGGCTGGCAGCATCAGGGCCCAGGTGCACAGCACTGTCACAACTGCTCGGGTGAGACCTTCATGGCTGGCAGGAGGTGAAGTGGCAGCGAGGCCAAACGAGAACCAGTCTGCCCAGTGCTCTCTTCCATGGTGGGGGCGACTCTGTGGGTTAATTAAGGGGCAGCTCAATTCAGAGCTTCAGGCACTGCCTAGAAACAAAACTGAGTAGCATTAAACAATGACTTTTCCTTAATGAATAGCTGAAATCAGCTGTAACTATCTCCTTGGTAAAGATACAGAAACAATTCATTTTTTCTTTCTTGAAAACAGGAGAAAAACGCATAGCACTTCATTGACCCCACTTTTCTGGATGGAGTCTAAAGCAGATGAAATGTTGACAGCTGGAAAAGTTTACAAAATGACATAAGTTTTAAATCACTCTCAAAGGAATAGTCTCAGCATATTTTTAAGAATGGGAAACTCTTCCCAGGCTTTTCTTTCTTTCAGGCCTTGAAAGTAACTAGTTTGAACTGTTGACTCCACCTTCTGTCTGGGTCAGGCACTATATGTGAACTTTATATAGTTCATTTATATATGAAAAAACTTGGACTGTGACTCAGAAACAGCATTAATGTGCCTACCAAGCAAAACTTCAATAAAAAATCATGTTCTGGGGAGTGCTGTGTTAAGACACAGTTTTATATTTAACTGCAAGCTAATGTGTTTGATCAATGAGAAAAGCATTGTCTGATGGGTCTTTTTCCACAAGATGTGGGAGGAACATTTGCAAGGTATGGGTTGTTACAGTACTTTTACTTGGGTTTTTTGCATCTTGGTCACTCCTTATATGACTCAGGAAGGGTGGGTGCATGTCAGCTGTACATCCTCTGACTTGATAAATAAATAAATCCTGGCATGTTAGTTTGGTTTGACCTGTATATTCAGTATTGATTTTCTTACATGTGACCTATGAAGGGGAAAGAACGTTTGTGTTTCTTTGTGGTGTGGTAATGCAAGGCTGAAAACGAAGTGGGTTTTTCCTTCTTGCCTTTCCCAGGGGAAATACAAGGTCTGTCAGACTGGTTCTTGCTGGAGGATGATAATGGTGGGAGAATAAGTGATTACAGCATCAAAAGCAATTGGGGTCTAAGCAGTGGGGAAGAGAAATAGCATTTTAGGCTGAAGGTTTAATGTACTGGGGACCAGAGCTTGTCCCTGTTAGGACTGGATTTGCAATGCAAAGTAGCTGAAGAGCTGGCAGTTGGGATGCCTGGGTCTGGGGGAAAGTTGGAGCTGGCAGTACTCATGGGGACAGAGAATGGGGCTAGCAGGGAATTCCTGTGTGGGATGGCATCCATGGGGGCCCCAGGGACAGCAGACAGCGGGACAGCCCTGCCCCGCATCAGAGAGGAGAAGTAGCAAGGGCTGACGAGGCACTGGTGGGCAGGGGGGGACTGAGTGGCAAGCAGAACATGTGCTGAAGTGTTTCTTTTCCTTCCCTCAGAATGCCATGGTGTCTGTGAAGGAGCTGTGCGGGCTGCCGCCCATCGCGAGCCTGAAGCAGTGCATCCTCACCCTGTCCTCCCGGCTCGTGAGCAGCGACAGCTCGCCCTCCGTCACCCTCTGCATGAAGGACACCTTTCCTTACCTGGAGCCTCTGGGGACCGTGCCCGATGTGCAGAAAAAGGTCCTGGCAGCGTATGACCTGGTAGGCACTCCCCCACTGCTCCCTCTGTGTTTCCCCGCTGCTGTGGGTGCGGCAGGCTGCGCTCGCTGGCTTTCACGTGCCCAGATGTTTCAGTTAAATGACCAGGCCCTTCACATGACTCGGGCTGTGAAGAAGTTGTCCTTCAATCACTACAATGCCGTGCTGGGCTTTTTGTTGCTGTTTCCTTTTTTAAACACGGTTGTGGCTAGCACAGGTTGGCACTTGAAGAGGACTTTGTTTACAAAACTAGGGCAATTCAGCTTGTACTGGTGACTGTTAGTCCTTGTCCTTGAGAAGCGGCAAGATTTGTGCACTGCCCTTGGCTCGCGTCCCCGCAGGAGAGGACAAGGCCATTAGATAGGGAGCTGCAGCATGGGAGTTCCCGGGCAAAGCCGAGCTGTCCCCTTCCCGACACTTTTCAGCAGCACTGTTAAGTACTGCCCGTGTCCCTGTCAGACCAAGTGTTGCTCTTGGGGAGGGCATGGCAAAGTTGCAAGGGAAGTTTAAAAATGCCTGTTTTCTGGCACGGGGAAGGAGAGGTCAATATGGTACAGGAATACTTTATGCAGATGTAGAGACACAAACTGGCATCGTTCCAGATGAGTGCTGCTGCTCGTTGTATGACATATGTCACTTCTGTGGGTGACTGAGCAGCAGCTGTGCGTGACTTCCAGCAGCAGAAGTTGCTGTCACACGGTGCCTCTCGGGCCACGACACTGCCCCCTCGCTCCCCATCCTTTGTAGATGCTCTGCACAACTGATAGCAAGCTGCAGAGTTTTTGCAAAGCCTGACTTAAATATTGCACTGTGGCAACCAGACTAAATCACAACTCTTGTTCAGTGCACAGCAGTTATTTCTGCAGCCTGTGTTATTTCTGCAGCTTGTGTTCATAAGGAATAAAATGGTGAATAACATTGGGGATATCAAATTGCTTCCAGAGAACCTGAAGTGTTGTGAAGAGTGATCACAGCTTTGACCAGCTATTCAGTGTGCCAAATCTTGCCTCCTTTTCATCTCATTTTTTTGCCATTATAACACACTTTTCAAGGGAAAAATCAGCTAGTGGTGAGGAGGGAGACAGTGATGTTGATTAAAACAGAAATATTAAAAATACCCTGAAATAACCCTTGGGTTCCTTCCAGAGTAGTTTGTATTACTTGAAAGTGATTACGTTATGGTAATAAAATACCAGCTGTAACAATACCAGAACGAGGGTTTGCAAATCCAGTTGATTGCCTTATTTTAGACTGAATTTTTTTGGGTTAGATTTGTTACATGGTGTGATGTCTTTCTGAAAGAGCAAATACCACATAAATAAGAGATTTTTCTGTCTTTAGAGGCCTGCTTAATGAAGTCTTACCAAAATGAATGTGTCACTTCTTATCTTTGTAATTATATACTGAAGAGTACACATGGGACGTTTCAAGGCCTCCTTGTACTTTAGAAACAGTTTTTCAATTTAAATAGGTGAAAGGCCTCTTTTGGATGTAGACAGGAACACTTGTATAACTGTTTTAAGTAATGTTTGTTCTCACATTTGTCTCTGATGGGGGAAAATGTACCTTGAATGTCAAGAGACTGTGCAAACACTAAAACCAGTGAAAGAGAATGGAGTTCTGCCTTGCCTGTGTAAGGATTGATTTGAGTTATAATTCTGGTAATGCCAACAAAATACTTTATTTTTACCTGCTTTGTCTGACTGCAACTGCTTCTTACTTTGCTGAAACTATTTGCTTCTGAAAAAGCAAAAGCCAGATTTAATAAATGTTTTTGCTGCATTTTGGATATTTGCCTTTTGAGACAGTGCTAGAGGCAGAATATTGAAATCTGTTTAGCTTTTTCTGTGTTTAAAAAAATGAACTGTCTCTATCCATCTGGATATTTGAAATCGCAGTGTGGGGAGGGGTTTGCAATTTTAATGTTGATAAGGGGCCCCTCCTTCCTATATATAGACTTGGTGTAATCCAGGGTGTATTTCTTTTTAATATTTATATTTTTTGTGCAAATGAGAGCACAAGGAGATGTTGGTGGAAAGCAATATAAAGTATTTTAGCTTATTTATTTATTTGTATTCAAGATACACTATGGTTCAGCCTTTTATATTGTTGATAAATATGGCATCAAGGAACTGGATCCACAAGTGCTTGCTGCTTGCCTTTAATTCCTCAGAAATGTCTTTTTACTTCAAAGCACTTTTTGAATGAATAGGCCTAAGAGGATTTTTAAATAAAATAAAATCTGTTTATATTGGCCTGTCTCTTGTATGAACAGGCTATACTTCTTAATTCCTTTTACAGTATAATGGGAAAACGTTTGACCCTAAATCTCATAGTGGGAGTCTGTAATTATATGTCTGCTCCACTTGCTGGGCTCCACAGCACGGGGAGCTTGAGTGCTGGGCAAACCCATCCTCACCACCCCTGAAAACAATACAAATGTCACATTCTTTAAAAGGTGTGCTTTGAAAATAATTTCTGGTAAAAACAGCTCTATGTGTTAGAATCTTTTTTCCCCTTAGAGAAAATTGCCAGCTGAACTTACCTTTTTCTTTTTTTTTCCATGGCAAGTATAGACTCTGCCTGTGTGTTTAATGGGGCATAAGCAGGACTGACGGTCCAGGGAAATGGAGGTGCAAATGCTCGGAGACCTGCCACAATGATCTGGAAAACAATTAACTGTCTGTTCCTTCCTGCTCAGCCTTTGTCAGCAGGCAGGATAGACAAAGACTGGTTTGTGCAGTTTGTTTGTTTTTTTCCTGGGCAATTAATTTTACCATTGTGCACTGCATTAAATATTTTCTTTTGAGAGAGACCTTATTAGAATAAAATTTAATGTGCTTTGTTTAAGGAATTGGAATGATTTTTCAGGACTCTGTTTATCTCTTTTTATGGATGCACTGCACTGGTTTAGTGGAACTCTACTGTTGCCATGTCTCATGTAGGAAGAGGCTTCATTGATGGTGCTGGGTTGTTTGGGAGTTTCTGTAGAGGAGGGAAGGGAATAGGATTTGCCAAACCCAAGAAAATAAGGTGGAGTGATGACAATACACAGAAAACATTTTTCAAAAGTGTGTCAATGACCAGAAATACAGTTTAGAATGGGTTTTTTTGACTTGCAGCTTTGGTTGATACCACACACAAAGTGTGATGACTGGACTCTGGTCGTGTTCACTGGTTCCCACACATACATTGTAGGATAATGTATTGTGTCACTTACAGAGTTGTTCTTCAGAGCTTTCCTTTCCCATGAGGAAAGGCTCTCCCTCTCCCCCTTGTCAGTGGTCACTCAGGTGGGCAGCATGAACAGTGTGCTTCACAACCTGTCAAATTAATGCTGCTGTTCAGGGATCACACCTAAAAAAGGAGATACTCCATGTGAAGAGAGGGAATGGGGCCCAGCTGGACCTGACAGATGGTTGAATTATTCATTGCAAACAGTTATCCTGTGAAGTTAGAATTTTTTTTGGTTGAGAATTGTTTGGAAACAGATTGTGATTTCTGTGTCTGCACGATATATTCATGTGCAGGTGCAAGCATGCATGAACTCAGGGGTACTTGTACTCTTTGCTTTTCAGTTATTGGTTCGGTGTTATTTTTCCTCCAAGATCAAATGATTAAATCATTTGAAAATCAAAAGCAATAAACAAGTGATAATAAATTTTCTTGGTTTTACCCAGCCACCCTGCTCATGTGCGTGCAGAAATTTTTCTAGAAAATTAAAAAAAGATGTTCAAGGATCTTTACAAGTTTTCAAATCATAAATAACAAGAAGTGTAAAAAAACGTTGAACAATGAAGCTATTTGTTATATAAGCTCACATTGACATTACTGTTTTTCTTTGTATTCAAGCCTCTTTACTGGAACTGATCTTGCTCTGTTGGAGCAGACAGTTATGGAAGACAGGGTGTCTGTAGGTGCTGTTGGGAGGTGGTAAGGTAGTTAAGAATGTTTCAGCCAATATGGGGATGGATTGGGGATTTTTGAGAGGAGAGGAAATGTCTGTGATGCTGCTGGGAAATAAGTCAATGTATTTAATGGCAGTGTTTTTGTTGACAGGGATATCGGTCCGTGCATGCTCGCAGAAATCTGCTGAGGCGTGTGTGCAGAGGAGCTGCTCTTTGTCTGCTGTTCTTTTCATATTCCATTTTTTGGGGGTTTCTTTGTCTTGATGCAGATGTGAAAGCTCTTTATTCCCAAGGAGAAAGTCCTTTTTCTCAGTTTATGTAAATGCAAAATGACTAAATAGATTTTCGTGAGCATTTCCACTGAAATTCATACCTCAGCTGGGACAGAGTCATCCCCAAAGGAACATTTTTCACAATTCTCTAAGCAGCTGAAGACAGGGCTATTGCAGAGCAGAGCATCCACTGCCAGGGAAGTGTCATAAGGCACTGACGTCAAACACAGTCCAATACATGGACATTGTCTTGAATTTTCATTTATTTTAAAGAGTTTTCCGCCCAAAATTGGACATAAACTGGGAAAGGCTGTTTCTTTTTCCATTTCTTATTAAGGAAAGTCTTGTTTCGTTCTCCACTTCTTATAATTCTCTTATTTACTCTCTCTTATTTACCCACCACTCTCACAGTTTCTCTCTGATAGCGCAGGTCCCTTAGTCATTTCTAAACCAGAACTTGAAAACAGTCAGATCGGAACTTTTCTTGCAAATTAAAGTTCCAGTTGGGTACTTTAGTTACTCTGTTTTAGCACAAGCATATTGAAAGCTGACCTCTCCCCCCTGTTCCTCCATTACTCCTATTCTGGGCTGGTCTTCATGCACAGGACACATCCTGCAACACTCTGGCTCTGTATTTCCCCAGAAATATTTGTAACTGAAAACACGAAATTGTAACTTAGGGTGAATTTTATTCAGTTCCTTCTGCAATTTGTGTCAGTAAGGTATTTCAGATGTTTCCAGCTCGTGTTACTGTCCTTGACAGCTGTTCCTCACACTGGGCTGTTGCAGGAAAAGGCCCAGATACAGAAATCTGACTTGAGGT